TGACTTGGCAGCCCTACCTTAGACAACATCTTCAGTTCTTCAGAGGTCACTGTGTGATTCCACAGAAACATGAATTCTCTCCACTTGTTTTCGAGGTGCCACTGAACACATGAAGCTGCCTCAATCAAGGTCGGTCTTGACTACTCTGACTGGCAAGTGGCTCTCCGGGATCTCAGGCCAAGGCCTTGCCCATCACCTACTAACTGATTCTTTTAATTGGTCAGGAATTAAAACCGGGACTTCCTGTATGCCGAGGAGATGCTCGGCCACTGAACCGCATCTACTCCCTATGAGTGCCATGAATCAAGCCTTGCCCAGAGAGCAAAAAGGTGCTTAAGACAAGCTGGGCAACAGCTCATATCTTGACTAGGCCTTGTTCGGAACTCATTTTCCTAAACTCTGGTTTTCCTCCCTTTCCGCCCCTTTTCCTTCTGTCGAGTTCCTTGCCTGACACTCTCGTGTAACCCCAAATCCTCCTATCCGTTTGCCTGTTTCATTTCTGTCTGCCTCATTTCTAATCCTACGGTTTCACACAAGCTAAATAATGCCGTTTCAATCCACTTCAGCGACCATTTGCAAGTGGATTTTGTCATTTCACACAGTAAAATCCAGTTGCAAAGTGCATTGAAAGTGGGTTGAAAGGGCATTATTTAGGCCCATTCTGCATCTAGCATTTGCTCCACTGTTTTACCAAACCCACACTGGAACAGAAATTCCCCTCTACATTGCATGCCACTTTCACTTTCTTTGATTGTCGCATTTTATGGTAGCCTCCACACTGCATGCCAGTTTCACTGCCTTTGATCTCTTGGTTTTACGGTATTCTCTGCATAGATTTATGGCCTTTTTGTGGCCATTCAGGGGTGACTCCGCAGTCAGTATGGTGTTGGCCCAGGGTATATGAATGTGGTTCTGAGCCACACAGTGAGGGTTTAGTAAAACAACGGAGCGAATGCTAAGAACATAAGAGATGCCAATGTTGGATCAGGCCAAAGGCCCATCCAGTCCAACACTCTGTATCACACAGTGGCCAGAAATACCAGGTGCCATCAGGAGGTCCACCAGTGGGGCCAGGACATTAGAAGTCCTCCCACTGTTGACCCCCCCCCCAAGCACCAAGAAGGCAGAGCATCACTTGCCCCAGAGCCCCTAGCTATACCTTGTGGCTAATAGCCACTGATGGACCTCTGCTCCATATGCTTATCTAATTCCCTTTTGAAGCCGTCCATTTTATGCTAGATGCAGAATGGGGCCTAGTGTGTGTGGAAGTGCAGTGAGCCAGGTTCTGCAAGGGCCTTTCATTCCTGGAAACCCCACCCAGATATACAATCACTTTTATCTAGGATCACCTTTCCACCTGAGGACTCTCCACTCCCTTCATCCTCCAGCTCTCCCCTTGAACTTATTTCAGTTCTCTCAGGGCACATGAGGTAGTTTCCCTCAAGGCAAGGCAAGCTGTGGGTAAGGGAAAACAAACCCATTCCTTAACTGGCCATCGGCAGTCATTGTCAAACTCATCCCTTAATGCTGACTTGTTGATGTTGTAAATTCATGGGGAGGTCCCTCTAGTTTTTAAAAAGCTTTTTGTTAAGTCGCTCGCTTAACAAAGCAGTCGGAGAGTGATTCAGCAAGAACACAACTTTATTCTTCAACTCAAACACAACTCCAACACGGATCAACATCTGATAGCCAGAACAGCCTTTGCATTGCAGCTGTCCTGCTTTTAAACATTCCCGGCTAATGTAGCCACACCCACTGTACAAACACCAACCAATAAGGTTGTTCACATAAGGACCAATCACGGATGTTTCCGCTCAGGGAGCTTGCTTGAAAGTGATTGGTTAGGTGCTTCCTGGGCTAGTAACACGATTGGATGGATTTGAATCCTAGCCCAGGATGAAGCTTTACATTACACTTCAATTATATGTTTCACAACATATCATGCATTCAAGGCAGCTTTGAATACACTACACTTTTCAAGTTCTTCAAGGTACTCTTCTGTCAGGTTCACTCAGTCCAGCTGTGATCCTTTTCCTACAGTCAGTCTTGCTCCCAATAATAAAGAGCCACTAGCCCATCTCACCTGTACTTCCATTTTGCTGTGACAACAATAGAACAACCAACTAGGGTTGTCAGAACTCCAACTGTAGGCAGGGGTGCTGCCAGGCCCTGTGCTGCCAGGCCCCACCACCCAGCCACCAATCAGCTGACTGGTGGCGGGGGACTCACGC